CCAGGAAGTATACTTGCTGTTTCTGCAATGGATCCCTACTCCAATGGAAAATGCAACATTTTTGTAGGAATTTGTATTCAGCGATCAGGAAAGGGACTTGGTGCAACATTTATACTTCGAAATGTAATAAATGGACAAGGTGAGTACACAGAGTTTGTTATGCCTTTTAAGGATGTAGTCAGGACATTCAGAAAAGAGAACAGTATCAGCTTCAAACAGCAAGGTTAAAAATTACAAAGAATTGACCGTATCACACAAGAAAAACTCAGGTTTCATAGTTTTAAAACCTGGAGCATTATTTGTTAGCTAAGTGTGGTAAGCATTTGCTATATCGATTAAAGAAATAATGTTCATTTTAAGGTGTTGAAATCTGCTATGAATTATATAATCCCCTAATCCACGAGATCAAGGTTTTGAAGTTGGAGAAGAGGCCAGATGATAACTTGATGTATTTACGAGATGCTCTGCCAGAGTTCAGCACTGTTGATGTAAACATGAAGCCAGTGTCTTACATACTTTATGATGATGTTCCTGTCAATAAGGTAATATAAATGGGTAACTGGTGCATGCAGCTAACAATTTGTTGTGCTTGAAAATAATTTTGCATTGTAAAGCTGTTGCACAGAATTCTGCTTGCTTGGAAAATGTTCTCCAGTAGAGGTTTCGAGTCAGATTACAGGTAGTCCTTGATTTATGACTGTAATGGAACCTGCCCCTCACAGTCATGATGGTCATAAATCAGGTCACCCGTGTTTTTTTATGACTTTTTTTTGTGAAGATCTTCCAGCAAAGCTGCAGTTGACAAGCGAACCAATGGTTCCCTATGGGCCAGTTTTGCTGATAACCAGAAGTAAACGCTAGTTTTTGGCAAAACTGTTGTAAAGTGAGGTCACAAGACTGTGGGATGCTACAAAGGACCATAAATGCGGGCCAGTTGCCAAGCACCCAACCTGCAGACACGTGTCTAGCCGTCAGAACTTCAGAACTGGTTGTAAGTATCCCCAGAGAGATCCATCACAACTTTGAACAGTTGCTAAGCAACCAATGTTAAGTCAAGGACTATTCTGTAGGGTAACTACCCTGTTTTTATTATTGTCAGCATTCTCCCCTATATGAATAATTGCTTTTGAGTTAACAAGGGAAAACAATTTCTTATTATGAGCATGAAGAGGTTTCTACAAACTGTGCCAAGTTCCAAAGGTTTCCAAATGATTTTAGGTTCCAGCACAGCATTGTATTTGACCAATAAGGTTCCTGTATGAACTACAGCCCACCTATTATTGTTGCTGTTGTTGTTATTTCATCTAAGAAGTATAATAATCCCTGAGAGTTTCAATCAACAGATAATGGCTGGCACAAGTTCACCCATTCTAAGAATCATTGGGATACATCTGATTTCTCAGCATTGCTAAAAATCACTATGTATGAATGAGCAATGTCTATGAGTACAAAATACAATTTTTGGAAATATTTTGCTGAAATACGATATTCACAAACTAACACATTTTACTTTGAATTATATTAGATGAAGGTCAAAATGAAGCCTAAACCGTGGTCAAAACGCTGGGAACATCCAAAATACAATATCCAGGGCATCAACTTTGACGAATATCTTACAGAAAAAGACAAAGAAAGAATTAAAAAATGGGAAATGCCTTGGAGACAATTTGATATGATGATAGAGTATGATACATCAAAAATTGAAAAGGAAATTCAGAAAGAAGTGAATGAAGAGCTGAATAAAAGCTAGGTGGCTATTACCTAGAAAGACCATTGTTCGAGGAATTTTAGGTTTTATCGTTAACAGTGACTCTTGAAAAAGCATGTAGATGAAAGGTATTCATACTTATTTTTTTGTGTTCAGCAATCTCTACATATATAAAACATCCTAAACGAGCAGCTAACCTTTTGATAATTGGGGAAAATATGAAGGCCACAAGAAACACTTTGGTGACATCTTTAAAAGGGATTGGTCCCCAAAGCTTTAACTTTTTTTTTTGCAATGGGAGGCAGCTAAAGAGTTTTTTCATGTATAAACCAGCACATTTCAAAAATAATCCCTTAATTTGTTGCCAGAGGGCTACAGAATTAAAGGTAGTGGCCAAGGGTTGTTCCTGTCCATTCCAGAAGTTCTCTTTGTATTTGATAAGGCAAATAAAAAGATAAATAAGATTGACTGGGGACTTGTAGGGCCTGCTGAGTAACAGGAAATCAAAGTAGTATAACATATTTTCAATAAAAGCATTGATTGTATTATTACCCAATTCATTTTCTACTGTACCTGTGTTTAATACCTTATGCTGGCAATGTTGGTTTAGTAGCAGTAAAAATAAAATGATAATGTTGATGTATTATCCCTATCCATTGGTAAAGAAAGATAAAGATCCCAAGAAGAATAGTTAACTATTGTAGTAACTGGAACGCAATACTAGTATTTAGCTATTTGAAACAAAAATGCTGTCATATTTTCCAACTTATGTTACTCAACAATGTCATATACTTTTAGGATGTAAAACATCCATTATAATAAACGTTCAATCGTAGTATAGTATTGTCAGAAACCACACTGAGAAATCCAATTTTATTCATGTTTATGTATTATATAAAAAGAATTGTAATGATATTTAATTGGATAAAAACAAATTCTTACTGACCAAGATTGCAATATGCACTATAACATTTCTATTCAGAAATAAAATTAAGCATTATTTATATCATAAATAACATGCTGCTAATTTGAAGCATGGCATCAAATAAAGTAATGCTGTCATGTTAATTTCAGAAAATATTGACTGTTGTGAGATTGGCTTTTGATTTCAACTGTTTTCAGTAAAAAAAAATGTTTTGAAAGCAGTATGGTACTACTGGGATGGGAAACAGAATTCAGGGCTATTGATTACGTTGAGAAATAAAAATAATAATAATCCAGAAGCAGTAGTTCTTCCATTTGCCTTGAATAAGGCTTTGAAATCATCAGGAATTGAGCTTGACTCAAAGACGACTTTACCTTATGCGAGTATAGCTCAATCACTAAATAGTGAATGCTTGTGTTCACATGACATGTTAAGGATATTCAGCTAATCAGTTTTCTGCATTTGCAGAATTTGGAACATTAAGTATATAAACTGCATTCACACAATGTAGCCTATTGCAGCAGTAGGCTAAGATGGGTTAACTAGTGAGTTCTGCAAATAACTTGTATGTTGTATGATAATCTTATCAGATTTGGTACCTTTGCAGCCCTTCCTCCAGTTTCCTCTTAAACATTCTTTAGACTGTAATGCAGAATCTGTTGGTTTTCAAGTCACTGTATCAGATGCAACAACAGTACTGCATTCTTGCTCAGGTTTTGCTTGCCTTAGCTAATACCTTAAGGTAGGTGCAGTCATTAGGTCCAGAGGCCTTGTCAAATAGAGGCATTCCAGTGTTCTGAAAGAAGTGGTTATGAGATTATTGCTCTTCATTTTGGCTTTGTTTTTTGACTATTTTTGTTGCTATTTAACACATACTTGTATGAGGGAGGGGCTTGTTGACAAATGGCTGTGCTGTAGGATGTGTGGCACTTAATTGATCAAACAGTCTATTTATTTGATCATGATAAATCAGACAAGGATGCAACTCTGTTAAATAATGCTCAAATTTTGCATGCTGAACTTGCCCTTCTGACATTTGGACCATTGGGGAAAAAAGGGAATCTGTAGCATCTTTTCTAACAACTTTATTAAATGGCATAAGATAAGTTGTAGATTAACACAGCTTTCCCCTTAACAATGTTTTCATCATTGCAGCAATTCTACTTTTAAAACTTACTGCTTTTTACACTCTAGAGAGCTAAACATATTTTTACCTCTCTCCTCCGAATTTCTGAAATTTAATCTTGGCAATCCAAAAGCAATCCCAAGGAAAGGAAAAGCTTTGTTGGAAACATTTTTGCCACTAAATTTAAATGTCTAGTTGGCAATGATAGGCAGGGAGACTATAGTGCCGTGGTGGCAAACCTATGGCATGCGTGCCACAGGTAGCACGCAGAGCCCTCTCTGTGGGCACGCACGCCGTCGCCCCAGTCCTAGGCCTTCAGCTGGGTTTTATAAAACCTTTTCGCTTTAGGCCTCCGCCATGTGCAAAAAAAAAGTTCAATCGATCCATCAATTTCAACTTCTCGCGGGAAAAAAATATCTTGCAAAGTTGGAATGGATTGAACTTTTTAGTCCCACCCAGTCTGCCATTATCACTGCAGCCACACCCACCCAATGGGCCACGCCCACCCGGCACCCAACAATACATGAGTGGGTTTTGGGTTGCAGTTTGGGCACTCAGTCTCTAAAAGGTTTGCCATCACTGCTATAGTGCAGAGGGATAAATTTTCTTCGGTTCTTCCGGGGCAATTAAGGAGCACTCGAGGCTGCGAGGCAAAATCCACGGGCACTAACAACTCAGTGTTGGGAAAGTATAGCAGCGAACAAAAAAGCACCATCACCTCTTCATTTCTTTCGAGCTCGAAAGATTAAAGATTAAATGATTAATGTTTCGATTAGTCTCTACTGGGCTTCCAGTTGAGCGGAACGACGGGAGAGTTTCGCTACATAATCGCGATTGGCCAGCAGAGGGGCTAAACCTCCGTTTGCCACCCACAGAAAGGAGAACAGTGGTACCTCACACACTGTTTTGGCGCACACAGAGAACGTGCACTTTCGGCCATTTTTGCCCACTTAGGGCAAACTAAACCGATAACCCAAAAAAACAAACAGCTGACTGCGTTGCAAGGCATATTATCCTTTCAGCAATCGATTCAAGAAAATTCGGGAAGAGCCATTCCATTGGTGATCTGCTGGCTCTCCGAAACTGCGCGCGGGTGCCTAGCCCAGGCGCGCAGGGAAGTCCTACTCCCGCTTGTTCCCGCTTATGTGTATAGCAGCTGGCCCTGACGCCATGTTCCGGTTTTGACGCAACGGCGGTAACAGCCGCAGCAGCACAGCCCCAGGAGGAGGAGGAGGAGGAGGAGAAGGAGGAAGTGCAAGCGCAAGCCAGAGGAAGGAGGCAGTCCACCAGCTCTCTCGGAAGAGGAAGGTGCTGACAAGCGGCGCAACAGGTAGGCGCAGGTGCTTTTGCTCCAGGCCTATCGCCAAAATCTGCCAGATGGCTGCGCCAGGCCGACCCGCAGTCGGGGAGACGATCGAGGTCGGGAGTTATCGGGGAATGCTGCCTTGAATCCCTTTGCGTGGGGGGGACGGGGAGGAGGAGATAGGCGGGCCCTTTGCTCGTTGCGTTTGTGGGAAGTGCGGTGGAAACATCGGGGAGAAGGCGGGTTGGGCTCTGAAGCGCTGCGGCGGGCACGCTGGTTGAGGATGCGGGTTCAGGCAAGAGGCATCAGAGAGGGAGGGGTGGCCGGCGGGCTGAGAGAGGATGTGGGGAAGCGTTCGGAGCCCTGGGCAAGGGCAGAGAGTCTTACCAGCTGCGGCGGTGCTTTGCGAGCCCACTGTAAAGAGTCTTGGGCGGGACTTGTTCCCGGGACTCGGGAGTGCGAGAGCGCCAGGCCATTGGGAGTCGCCATTAAGCGCAACCAGTCGGCCCCTTCCGCTGCATCTGTCAAGCTAGGAGCCAAAGGCATCCCGGTGCTCCTGCCGTTAGTCCTCGGGGCCTCCGGCTGCTTTTGGTCCAAAGGGCTTCGGCTTGCACGTGCACACTTTTTGCTAATGACTTCGTTTTGTGTTAGTTCTCTAGTTGGATAGCTTGCAGAAGGTGAAAGGCAAAATAAATGCAGGACAAGCTTTGTGTGTTGCCTTGCCTTGCCAATCAAAATGACTTGGGGATACAAATAGTTAAAGTGGCCAGGGCTTTAAAACAAAAATAAAGGTAGAACTTTAGCTTATTTTTAAACATTCATTGTTAAATAGCAAGGCTTTTCTTATGTTTGCATGTTTTAAAGCTGCTGGATATCTATCACTTAATGTGTTTTTTGCAGTGTTCCTGTAACTTGCATGTATTGCTTTTATTCTTAAAATTTGTAAAAATGATTTCTTTATGAAATTACCCATGTATAAATTATATCCATGCGCAAATGCATGTACTTTAAATACTTATCTATGTTTCTATAGAAACCATGCTTTTCATAGTAGTATTATAACTTGGATAATGATATTAAATAGGTGAATGCATTTGTATAACTAACCAAAGAAAACTGTATATTCATATGGATAACTGAGGAATAAGAGTTAATATGCCAGTGTATAAATATATGTATGTACTATAGACAGCAAGACTTTTAACTCTTAATTACTAGGATATAATGGAGCAAAGAAGTTGTTTTATATTCAAGATTAGCAATAGTATTTGTACTACTGTCAGTTTGGCCTATATTCTGTTATTAAAAATAAAGAAGTTCCTCCTTTGGAGTAACTAACATTAATCATGACTATTGTTTGGCAAAAATTGAGGGTGTGGTGAAAAAGAATAAGATGAGTGAAATCCATTTTCTCTCTCTCTTGTTTAAAGTAATCAATACAGAGCACACACTTTTCCCATATCCTAGCAATATTCAGAATGAAAGCATACTTAAAAATAATGAGGATGACTTGAAACAAACTTTTAAAACATATTGAGGTGAAATGAAAATATTGCAATCATTTTTATTTTAACATTGTCATATTTTTTCAATATCTTATTTCTTGTATTCTAAGAAGTGCAGTTGGATTAAAAATGTTTTTGAAGAGTAAAACTATTTAAAGGACGTCTTAGGAAACATACATGACATTGAAAGAAGCTATTTAGAGTACATACTAATCATGTTAATGTTTGCTCAGGAACCAGTTCTGCTGTGTTCTGAGAGGCTTACTTGTTAGGCTTAACCTCTTTTTTGAATTACTAGGAATATTGTGAACCTCATTGTGCTGTTTGTGAATTTTTATATAAAAATAAAATTATGTTATTTATATAAAATACTTTTGCATGAGAACTTTCTGAAAAACTAAATATATAATATATTTTAGTTATTAATTTAGTTATTAACTTCTTGAGATTAGTATTCTAATCTCTAGAATAGTAGGATTTTCCAAAGAGTAATCATCTAGCGTGCCCTAGGAAGAGTGGGAGAGTCATCTGTGAGTTCACATTCTATCACTGCCAAGCTACTAATAAACTCATTGTTACAGATACATTATAAAGTAGAACTATAGTAAAAAAAATAAATCCCTGTGTTATTGCCAAGATATCCAAGCACACTAGGGGTGAAGAATAGCAAATGAACCCATCTCTATATGTATGAAAACATTCTACACAAATTATGCAATGAGGCAGCCAAATAGAAAATAGATTCTTCCCATTTCAAATGCTATGGTGCAATCAGAATTGTGACATACATAGGATGTTGAAGTTTGTCACTTGTTCCAAACATTTTATTTGTGCAAAAAAAATGAAATGGAGCTCAATGAAGCTTAATTATGCCTTTGTATATTATTCACCCCAAATTAGTTTTAACTTATCCCATATTAGGCTTGCAATATAAGAAAAGTGTCTTCATTGCTTAAATTAAGTGTCAAACCAAACATAATTTTATTGCTTATAGAGCAGATATTTTTAGAAATGTAGGTGGATGGTTTTAAGTGACCCAAATTTATTGTGAGAGAGTCCTTAATTCATTTTATTATAATCAGATATTGTTGATGTGAGTGTATTCTTTATATATACCAGTGTTTCTCACCCTTGACAGCTTTGAATTGTGAGGAATTCTGGGAGTTGAAGTCCACATATCTTAAAGCTGCCAAGGCTGAGAAACACTGGTCTATATAATTTGAATGTCATCTTAAAAAAAACTCTTTTCTCTACCTATAGATATTTGATGAAAGGTAGCATTTTCCTTTTATACTAAGGACAGCCTCAAAATGTGTAAAATCTATTAAGGCTTTGTCACCTATTATGTTGGAAGGAAATCTGACTTCCCTCCAACATAACTTGCAATGACTAAGGATGGAGACAATAGTTGCAGGATAGAGATTAACAATGAAGATAACGAAGTTCATGTTGATGCAGTTTTCTGATGGATTTGAGGATTGGCAAGAGTACTGTAAATATCTGCTCTATAGCACTTCTGGCCAGATGTTTAAAAGATGCAGAGGTGATTTTTTTTTTGCCTTTGAAGATAGATGTGTTGAAAGTATACTGAAAGATTTAGATAGCAGATCAAGCAGGAAAGGTGGCATTGGGCGTCTGGACTGTCAACCCTGCCAGGTAGAACAGGTTGAACTAGTTGCTGTGCATTTATTGTATCTTTCAGAGCTACTTGTGGGTCTGGGAAAATTTCTTTCCTGGATATACAGGAATTCAAAGCTTATAGATTATGTATATGGAGAATAATTGGCTCTTTTTGCAACCCAGCTTGTTTGTCATGATAATCATTTTAAACTTTAGATAAATATGAACGTCTAGGACGCAAGCACCACTACCTTCAGCTGACAAAGCCATATTCAGAGAAAAACTCAGAAGTGGTCAGTAGCTTTTAAAATAAACGAGAACTCTATATGCTTTTTCAATAACCTTAATTCTTAAGAATATTTTTCTAAATCAACTCACAGAGAAACTCAAGGATTCGTCAACATGGCAAAGTCTTAATCCATTGCTGGCCTCTCAGTGACAAAGAATGATTTCAACAAAAAATATTTTTATGGGAGTTGGGTAACTTCCATAGAAGGTAGTTTAGACTGAAGAAACAGTACCAGAAACTTAAGAATCGCTTAGGTATCTGGTACTGGTTGTTCAGTCTACACTTTTGTTATTAAGGAGGGAGTGAATTCCTTCTTAATAACAAAGTTGAATTGTAGGGAGGAGATTCCCTTGTATGTATGTAGGATTTGGACATACAGTGGATATAAAAAGTCTACACACCCTATTAAAATGAAGGGGTCCTTGATGCTTTCTGAGTTTGGTTGCTTTGTTGCAAATGTTTCATTACATTCATTACTATCAGTAGTTAACATCATTCAGTGGTGATGACATTATCTAATTTGGGTAATGAAATACCTGCAAGAAAACAACCAAGCTCAGAGAGCACTAAGGACTCCTCATTTCAACCCTGAGCTACAAATACTAACTGATATTTGGGGGGGGAGGAATATCAGTAAGAAACTAGAATGTGGCTATATACGTGATCATATCCTCTTATAAGTAGGGATGCGACTGTTCAACATTAACCAATCACATTCAAACTGATATTAAACAGTCATTTCACAGCTGCCATCAACTAAAATGACTGATCAAGTTCATATAAGGTTCAGCTGTCCTAGTTGGATTTACTCAGTTGCCTCTTACAGCAAAGGCCAGGGTCTGCAAAGAGTTTACAAAGCATCAAAGATATCTATCTCATTGTTGGAAATTATCAGTCTGGAGAAGGGTACAAATTTTTTTCCAAGGCATTGGATATACTATGGAACAGAGTGAAGACAGTCATCAACAAGTAAGAGAAAATACGGCACACCAGTGATACTACCAAGAAGTGGATGTCCCTTCAAAATTGATGAAAGAACTAGAAGAAAACAAGTCCAACAGGCCCACAGCAATATTAAAGGAGCTGCAGGAATTTCTGGCAAGTACTGGATGTGTACTACACGTGACAACAATCTTCCATATTCTTCATATGTCTGGGCTATGTGGTAGGGTGGCAAGATGGAAACATTTTTGTACAAAGAAAAACGTCCAAGCCCAGCTACATTTTGCAAAAACCTACATCAGGTCTGACAAAGCATGTGGGAAATGTGTTACGGTCTGATGAAACCAAGATTGAATTTTTGGCTATAATTCCAAAAAATATATTTGGTTCAAAAACAACACTGTGCATCACCAAAGTGAGGATGGTGGTGGCAGCTTTATTTGTCTGTTTGATGAAGAGGAATTTCACCTTTCACAATTTCATCTTTCAATATTGTACTTTTTTATTATTCCCCCCCCCAAAGATTTCAGTTGTTTTTCAGTTTGTTTGTTTTTCAGTTTCAGTTTGTTTTTCAGTTGTATTGAGCAGCTTATGTTACATTAAATATTAAACACATACTATATATGCTATATTAAGAGAGCCAGTTTGGCCCAGTGCTTAAGGCACAAGGC